ACCTCAGATGTCTCCCACTGCTGCTTCATGTTGTCTGCCATTGCTAGGCTCTTTGTTGTCTGCCACTGCTACCTATGTTGTCTGCCATTGCTGCTTCATGTGTCTGACACTGCTGCCTCATTTGTCTGCCATGCTGCTTCAGTTGTCCTGCAATGCTGCATTCAAGTTGTCTGCCAATGCTGCTTCATGTTGTCTGCCACTGCTACCTCATGTTGTCTGCCACTGCTACCTTCATGTTGTCTGCCATTGCTGCTTCATGTTGTCTGCCACTGCTGCTTCATGTTGTCTGCCACTGCTGCTTCATGTTGTCTGCCACTGCTGCTTCATGTTGTCTGCCACTGCTGCCTCATGTTGTCTGCCACTGCTACCTTATGTTGTCTGCCATTGCTGCTTCATGTTGTCTGCCACTGCTACCTTATGTTGTCTGCCATTGCTGCTTCATGTTGTCTGCCACTGCTACCTCTTTGTTGTCTGCCACTGCTACCTTATGTTGTCTGCCATTGCTGCTTCATGTTGTCTGCCACTGCTACCTCATGTTGTCTGCCACTGCTACCTTATGTTGTCTGCCATTGCTGCTTCATGTTGTCTGCCACTGCTACCTCATGTTGTCTGCCACTGCTACCTTATGTTGTCTGCCATTGCTGCTTCATGTTGTCTGCCACTGCTGCTTCATGTTGTCTGCCACTGCTACCTTATGTTGTCTGCCATTGCTGCTTCATGTTGTCTGCCACTGCTACCTCATGTTGTCTGCCACTGCTACCTTATGTTGTCTGCCATTGCTGCTTCATGTTGTCTGCCACTGCTGCTTCATGTTGTCTGCCACTGCTGCTTCATGTTGTCTGCCACTTGCTCCATCTTCATGTTGTCTGCCATTGCTGCTTCATGTTGTCTGCCACTGCTGCCTCATGTCTGCCACTGCTGCTTCATGTTGTCTGCCATTGCTGCTTCATGTTGTCTGCCACTGCTACCTCATGATGTCTGCCACTGCTGCTTCATGTTGTCTGCCATTGCTGCTTCATGTTGTCTGCCACTGCTACCTCATGTTGTCTGCCACTGCTGCTTCATGTTGTCTGCCACTGCTACCTCATGATGTCTGCCACTGCTGCTTCATGTTGTCTGCCACTGCTACCTCATGATGTCTGCCACTGCTGCTTCATGTTGTCTGCCATTGCTGCTTCATGATGTCTGCCACTGCTGCTTCATGTTGTCTGCCACTGCTACCTCATGATGTCTACCACTGATGTCGCCAAAGAATCGAACATTTCTGCTATTTTGAGCTCAATTTCAAGGTACTTTTCATCATGAAACCAATTAAAATCATATTTATTTGTGTAGTATATCTTCCATTCTATCACATGAGACCAAATAAAAGGAGAATACAACCATAAAAACCATACGAAAATATACCGCTAAGGGGAGGCTAATGGCTGCGAAGTGAACTCCGTTATTTATGGTCTGATTTCTCTCATTTTTGGTGTACGTTAAGAAGCATATTTTCATCATACATTGTCCAAGTTTCAATAAGATAATCCAACAAACAACTGAGATCCAATTCCCTAGATCAAGAGCAAGAGCCCCCTCACCAGTGTCAATTAACCTCCCTTGAAGCCCGCTCGCATCTGGAAATTTTGCTTGCGGCTGGAAGCAAAAAATTGACCGAGCAGCTGCTCGTATCTGGAAAAACCTGCACGTGGATGAACTTGTAAGTAGAGGTTCCACTGTTTTCCATTCATTTTAGTGCTTGCAACTGCTAAATAAGTCACCATGGCTCCAAAGAAAGCTTCTAGTGGCAGAGGAAGGGGAGGAGAGTTTATTGTTGGAGAATATAACACTAATATCAACTCTACGGCTCATTTATCTATTACAATTCAACTAATATGACATAATAAACAATATTAACAACATAGAAACATGGAATATACTCTAGAATGAATAAAATAAGCCATTATGTATGTCACAAGAAGCGTTGTGTTGTTGTTGTTGGGTGTATAAGGGCCACTGAGAGCATAAGCCGTCCATAATGGTGGTGAAGCAGCAGCTGAGGCACCGGTGCTTTCTGTAGCACTATGTAACTCCAACCACTTATGGCTCATTTATCTATCACAATTCAACTAATATGACATAATAAACAATATTAATAACATAGAAACATGGAATATACTCTAGAATGAATAAAATAAGCCATTATGTATGTCACAAGAAGCATTGTGTTGTTGTTGTTGGGTGTATAAGGGCCACTGAGAGCATAAGCTGTCCATAATGGTGGTGAAGAAGCAGCTGAGGCGCCGGTGTTTTCTGTAGCACTATGTAACTCCAACAACATTGGAGGAGTTAGTAGAATCACTGAAGAAGGCACCCTCTACCACTATCACAACCACTATTACCCTCTACCACCATCACTACCATCCTCTACCACTATCACAACCACTACTACCCTCTACCACCATCACTACCATCTGCTACCACCATCACAACCACTACCACCCTCTACCACTATCACAACCACTACTACCCTCTACCACCATCACTACCATCCTCTACCACTATCACAACCACTACTACCTTCTATCACCATCACTACCATCCTCTACCACAAAAATCACAACCACTACTAACCCTCTACCACCATCACTACCACTCTCTACCACTAATCACAACTGCTAACCACTCAACCACCACCACTTTCGTATTTTTCTACAAACTTTTCTAAATTACATGTGTGAAAAACACATAATTTAAGAAAAGTTTGTAAAAAAAATACGAGTGGTGGGGTTGAGTGGTAGCAGTTGTGATAGTGGTAAAGGGTGGTAGTGATGGTGGTAGAGGTGGTAGTGATGGGGTGGTAGGGGGGGGTGGTAATGATGGTGGTAGAGGGGGGGTAATGAGGGTGGTAGAGGGGGTAATGAGGGGTGGAAAGGGTAGCAGCAGTTGTGATAGTGTAAGGGTGGAAATTTGATGGTGGTAAAAGGGTAGTAGCAGTTGTGATAGTGGTAAAGGGTGGTAGTGATGGTGGTAGAGGGTGCTAGTGATGGTGGTAGAGGGTAGTAGTGGTTGTGATAGTGGTAGGTGGTGGTTGTGATGGTGGTAGTGATGGTGGTAGAGGGTAGTAGTGGTTGTGATAGTGGTAGTGGGTGCCTTCTTCAGTGATTCAGTGATTCTACTAACTCCTCCAATGTTGTTGGAGTTATATAAGGCTACAGAAAACACTAGCACCTCAGCTGCTGCTTCACCACCATTATGGACAGCTTATGCTCTCAGTGGCCCTTATACACCCAACAACAACAACACAACGCTTCTTGTGAAAATACATAATGACTTATTTTATTCATTCTAGAGTATATTCCATGTTTCTATGTTATTAATATTATTTATGTCATATTAGTTGAACTGTGATAGATAAATAAGCCGTAGAGTTGATATTAGTGTCATATTCTCCAACAATAAACTAGCCTCCCCTCTCTCTGCCCCGTCTGCCATACAACAAGTGTCTTCAATAAAGTTAAGTGTGATGTTATATGTTCATTTATACATTTTATTAGTGCTTTACATTTATCTGGCATTCTTTTCTGCATGTAAATCTATATTTATGCTAGGGAAGTGACCCCTGAAGTGACCTAGAGTCCTTATGGAGGGGGATTCCCCTTCCAAACAATAACCTCTCTTCCCTCTCTCTCGTCCTCCCTGTCTTCCATTCATCAACAACAGTCTTCAATAAAGATAACTGTCATGTTGAATGTTCCTTCTTTTGTGCATGTAAATCTATCTTTAAGGTAAAAGAAAAAATTGTTGTTCATACTTCTGGGTGTCTGGAATGAATTAATTGGATTTACATTATTACTTATGAGGAAAATGGATTCGAAAATCGTCAATTTCGATAATAGTCACACTTCCAGGAATAGATTAATTATGAAAAATGAGGGACCACTGCATTAGGCAGCTGAAACAGCTGACTGGGAGATTTCTTGTGCTCAATCGATAAAATACAAATAATACTAGTGAAATAGTTAAGAATTAGGTTGACTGGAATAACATAATTGCTAAAATGGGTGTCAAAGTGGGCAAAAACGCCGATGTGTAAATATCGTTGATGCAGTAAAATTTGGGAGTGTAACATCGTCAATTTTCCATCAAATTTCGTACTTTTTGTTTAAGATTATCTACCATTTCACATGAAAAAATAACAAAAAAATTTTTTGAACATTCTTAGACCCTGGCTGTCACTCTGAGATTTGGCCTCTGGACCCTCAAAGGGTTAAGAAGGCTGAGCTTTGGCTCTTGGCCTTGCTACTCATCAACATAGACATGTAAAGTAAAAGGACACAAGTGCAACTAATGTGACATTTTTATTGTGGCAACGTTTCGCTCTCCAGGAGCTTTGTCAAGCTTTGACAAAGCTCCTGGAGAGCGAAACATTGCCACAACAAAAATGTCACATTAGTTGTACTTGTGTCCTTTTACTTTACATATTGTCGATAATTCTACCAACTTTATTACAACACAGACATGCTTGGGGAGCAAATTCTGTGCTATTATATGGCTATGTGGGTGGTTTTGTGGACAGCAATGAACTGAATGATCAGTAAGTTATATCTCAGACCTGGTTGGAAGTTGGTAAAGATCTCAAAAATGGTCACAAATATATCCAGTGTATTCTTAACTACTCTACTAACACTTCATGTCTTTAAACACATCAAGACAAAACATGGCTTAAACAATATGTGAACTTCTACATAATCATGCAATTTTAGCCACAAAAAAGGAAGAATAAAAACTAGAGGTATACTACACCATTATATTAAAAGAATGTAATAATGTTGGTAAAATTACCGACAATATGAAAGTAAAAGGACACAATTGCAATTAATGTGACATTTTTATTGTGGCAACGTTTCGCTCTCCAGGAGCGAAATGTTGCCACAATAAAATGTCACATTATTTGCACTTGTGTCCTTTTACCTTACATATTAAAAGAAGCAAAGAAAAGCATCTCTGGGACTTACTGCTTGCATTCCCGAAGGTCCTGCTAAGGCTTCAATGACTGCTTCATGAAGGGGTGCAGCTTGTGTTAGACCTGACTGTGTAAGCATCTCCTGGTCAGAGGACATGTCATATTTTGGTGTCATGAGACTGACCTGGTCTTGACCTCCACCAGATGAGTCTCCAGTCATGCCATCAAAGTTTTGGTCAGGTTCAGATGCATCATTGTGACTATCTCTCAGATCTTCCACTACTTCCTCTTTGACTAGAGATTCATCAAGGGTAACCTGAAATAAGATTTATAAGAAATAATAAAATGTTACTGAATACAATTTGAAAAAGTTCCATTACAATATTTAGAGCCTAAACAATTTGCTAAGCCTAGAAAATAATACACAGTACACACAAAAATATTAGTGATACATTTCTTTTAAACCTTTGACTGTTGGTGTCGTATATACGTCTAATGAGCCAGTGTCAGAGACAAATTAATATGCCAAAATTCTATCAGCTTCAAATCAAATCGGAAAAAGCTGGTAGGTCCACATGTGAAAAAATGGGTGTGTGTGACCAGTATGCGCAGTATAAAAAAAAAATCTTGCAGGACACAGTGCACAAGGAGAAAAAAACTCCGATCATGTTTTTGGATTAAAATGGCAACTTTGAGGTGTATTTTCATACAGTATTTATGGTTGTATTCTTGTTTTCTTGGTCTAATTTGATTAAATGGAAGAAATATTACAGAAACAAGAGATGATTTTGATTGGTTTCATGAAGACAAGAACCTTGAAATTGAGCTCAAAGTAGCGGAAATGTTTGATTTTTGCCAGTGCTCAAGAGTAAACAAATGATGTCACCATCCAATAAGTGTCTAACTGGTCATTGTAATATACAGTCACAAATGGTTTGACATTATTTATACAACTATTACAATAATGCAGTAGTCGGCATAACAGTAAATCTTCTATTTTTTGTGTGAATAAAAATTCAAAAAACAGAAAGCAAGAGTAATATAAAAGGGGCCTGGAGACATGACTAATGAACAGAGAAAATGTTATTTTAGTGTCAGGAATGTGTGCAATGTTTGTTCTGGACCCTATTCTGAAATTGGCATCTTTTGAAATTGGCATATTTTTTAACCCTTTGACTGTTTGGTCATATACAGTGGACACCCGCATAATGATATTAATCCGTTCCTGAGAGCTCATTGTTATGCGAAATTATCATTATGCGAATGAATTTTCCCCATAAGAAATAATGGAAATCAAATTAATCCGCGCAAGACACCCCAAAGTATGAAAAAAAAAATTTTACCACATGAAATATTAATTTTAAATACACACAAACTGAAAAAGGCATGCACAGTTACATGACACTTACCTTTATTGAAGATCTGGTGATGATTGATGGGATGGGAGGAGGAGAGAGTCTTAGTGTTTAGAAGGGAAATCCCCTTCCATTAAGACTTGAGTGTCAAGTCCTTTTCTGGGTTACTTCCCTTCTTCTTTTAATGCCACTAGGACCAGCTTCAGAGTCACTGACTTCTGTCGCACAACATATCTGTCCATATTTGGCCTGTACCTCTCGTTCCTTTATGACTTCCCTAAAGTGTTTCACAACAGGGTCAGTGTAATAGTCACCAGCACAGCTTGCAATAGCTGTGTTAGGGTGATTGTCATCAAAAAAGGTTTGCACTTTAAGCCACATTGCACACATTTCCTTAATCTTTGAAGTAGGCAACTTCTTCAATTTCTCTCTCCCCTCCTCCGAACCAGTTTCCTCAGGTCTGGCCTCTTGCTGTTGAAGTTGATCTAGCAGCTCATCAGTGGTTAGTTCTTCATTGTCCTCCTCCACCAACTCTTCCACATCATCCCCACTAACCTCCAACCCCAAGGACTTTCCCAATGCCACAATGGATTCCTCAACTGGCATACTCCTCTCAGGGTTAGCCTGAAACCCTTCAAAATCCCTTTGGTCTACACATTCTGGCCGGTTTCTTCAAAGCAGAGTTCAAGGTCTGCTTAGTCACTCCCTCCCAAGCCTTACCTATAAGGTTTACACAATTGAGGATATTAAAGTGATCTCTCCAAAACTCTCTTAGAGTCAATTGAGTTTGTGAGGTCACTACAAAGCACCTTTCAAACAGAGCTTTTGTGTACAGTTTTTTGAAGTTTGCAATAACCTGCTGGTCCATGGGCTGCAGGAGAGGAGTGGTATTAGGAGGCAAAAACTTCACCTTAATGAAGCTCATGTCCCCATAAAGTCGCTCTGCCACGTCTGTAGGATGACCAGGGGCATTGTCTAACACCAGGAGGCACTTGAGGTCTAATTTCTTTTCAGTTAGGTAATCTTTCACATTGAGGGCAAATGCATGGTGTAACCAGTCATAGAAAAAGTCCCTAGTGACCCATGCCTTACTGTTTGCCCTCCACAACACACACAAATTAGCCTTGAGGATATTCTTTTGCCTGAACGCTCTGGGAGTTTCTGAGTGATACACTAATAAAGGCTTCACTTTGCAATCACCACTAGCATTGGAACACATCAACAGAGTAAGCCTGTCTTTCATAGGCTTATGTCCTGGGAGTGCCTTTTCCTCCTGAGTAATGTAGGTCCTGCTTGGCATTTTCTTCCAAAACTGGCCTGTTTCATCACAATTAAACACTTGTTCAGGTTTCAGTCCTTCACTGTCTATGTACTCCATTTAATTCCTGCACATATTTTTCAGCTGCTTTGTGGTCCGAACTGGCAGCCTCACCATGCCTTATCACACTATGTATGCCACTACGCTTCTTAAATCTCTCAAACCAACCTTTGCTGGCCTTAAATTCACTCACATCATCACTAGTTGCAGGCATTTTTTTAATTAAATCCTCATGCAACTTCCTAGCCTTTTCACTTATGATCACTTGAGAGATGCTATCTCCTGCTATCTGTTTTTCATTTATCCATACCAATAAGAGTCTCTCAACATCTTCCATCACTTGCGATCTCTCTTTCGAAAACACAGTTGAACCTTTGGCAAGAACAGCTTCCTTGATTGCCGTTTTGATGCCCACAATAGTAGCGATGGTTGATTGGGGTTTATTATACAACCTGGCCAGCTCGGAGACACGCACTCCACTTTCATACTTAGCAATGATCTCTTTCTTCATCTCTATAGTAATTCTCACCCTTATTGCTGTAGGGTTGGCACTAGAAGCTTTCTTGGGGCCCATGGTCACTTATTTTGCAGATAAATCACCAAAAACACTGTAATAATACGAAACGTTCTGATTGTTTGCTTGGATGTTACCGTGGAGGCTGGCTGGTAAACAATGCCACCAGCGGAACATGTGAGGCTGGCTCAGGCCGCACATTAGACGTGTCTCGGACGAACAGCGTTGAGCGGGTTTTTTAGCGGTACGCGAGGCAAAATCTTAGCGATAAAATGTATCGGTATGCGGATTTAACGTTATGTAATGCCAACGGTATGCGCGGGTCCACTGTATATATATACACGTCTTACGAGCCACCATTTTTGACGTATATACAGTGGACTCTCGACCAACGATGGCATCGTATAACGTTAAATCCGATTAGCGATAAATTTAACACAAAAATTTTGCCTCGACTAACGCTAAAAAACTCGACCAACGCAATTCATTCCGTTTGAGACGCATCCACATGTGGCCTGAGTGCGCTTCACTTGTCCTGTGGGTGCCAGTGTTTACAAGCCAGCCAGCCACCACGGTCACATCCAAACATACAATCGGAACATTTCATATTATCACAGCATTTTTAGTGATTGCACCTGCAAAATAAGTCACCATGGGCCCCAAGAAAGCTTCTAGTGCCAACCCTACAGCAAAAAGGGTGAGAATTACAATGGATATGAAGAAAGAGACCATTGCTAAGTATGAAAGTGGAGTGCGTGTCTCCGAGCTGGCCAGGTTGTACACAAAACCCCAATCAACCATCGCTACTATTGTGGCCAAGAAAAACAGCAATCAAGGAAGCTGTATTGCCAAAGGTGCAACTATGTTTTCGAAACTGAGATCGCAAGTGATAGAAGATGTTGAGAGACTGTTATTGGTGTGGGTAAACGAAAAACAGATAGCAGGAGATAGCATCTCTCAAGCTATCATATGTGAAAAGGCTAGGAAGTTGCATGATGATTTAATTAGAAAAATGCCTGCAACTAGAGGTGATGTGAGTGAATTTAAGGCCAGCAAAGGTTGGTTTGAGAGATTTAAGAAGCATAGTGGCATACATAGTGTGATAAGGCATGGTGAGGCTGCCAGTTATGACCAAAAAGCAACTGAAAAATATGTGCAGGAATTCAAGGAGTACATAGAGGCTGAAGGACTGAAACCTGAACAAGTGTTTAATTGTGACAAAACAGGCCTGTTTTGGAAGAAAATGCCAAGCAGGACCTACATTACTCAGGAGGAAAAGGCACTCCCAGGACATAAGCCTATGAAAAACAGGCTTACTCTGTTGATGTGTGCTAATGCTAGTGGTGATTGCAAAGTGAAGCCTTTATTGGTGTATCACTCTGAAACTCCCAGAGTGTTCAGGAAAAACAATGTCCTCAAGGCTAATTTGTGTGTGTTGTGGATGGCAAACAGTAAGGCATGGGTCACTAGGGACTTTTTCTATGACTGGTTACACCATGCATTTGCCCCCACTGTGAAAAATTACCTCCTGGAAAATAAATTTGACATTAAGTGCCTCCTGGTATTAGACAATGCTCCTGGTCATCCTTCAGACTTGGCAGAGCGACTTTGTGGGGACATGAGCTTCATCAAGGTCAAGTTTTTGCCTCCTAATACCACTCCTCTCCTGCAGCCCATGGACCAGCAGGTCATTGCAAACTTCAAAAAACTCTACACAAAAGATATCTTTGAAAGGTGCTTTGTAGTGACCTCACAAACTCAATTGACTCTAAGAGAGTTTTGGAGAGATCGCTTTAGCATCCTCAATTGTGTAAACATTATAGGTAAGGCTTGGGAGGAAGTGACTAAAAGGACCTTGAACTCTGCTTGGAAGAAACTGTGGCCAGAATGTGTAGACAAAAGGGATTTTGAAGGATTTGAGGCTAACCCTGAGAAGCCTATGCCAGTTGTGGAATCAACTGGAATTGGGGAAGTCCTTGGGCTTGGAGGTTAGTGGGGAGGATGTGGAAGAGTTGGTGGAGGAGGACAATGCAGAACTAACCACTGATGAGCTGCATGATCATCTTCAACAGCAAGAGACCAGACCTGAGGAAACTGCTCAGGAGGAGGGGATAGAGAAATTGAAGAAG